TTTTTATATGCAATATTTGCGAATAACAATAAATGAATTATTGCTTACCGTAAAGTTGCTCCGCCGGCGCCCGATGCTCCTCCTGAGCCTCCTCCTCCTCTCAGTGGTCCTTCAAAGCATTCACATTGAATCACACGCGTTCGCGGCGCATGCATTGCTCGCATGCGTACCTGAATACGAAAATCGCGCGATACTTAGAACGGCACTCCCGACATCACAGGCGAATCAAACCGAATTGTCCAAGCTGTGACGTTATGCGCGAATTCCGTTCGCGTTTCAGACAACCACATTTACCAATTGGGGCACAATTCTCTCAAAACAGAAGGCAAAGATAAGCTCGAAGAAGATGAGGTGATTAGTCATCCAATCAACCGACTGGATACAAGACATCTGAAAAGCAATCGGTAGCGTTTGACTAACTCCGGTAGCCGTCCTCGACTACCTTCGACAGTCCGGCTATCTGTACAACTAGCGCGCTGCACGTAGAACCGAAGATTGCCCTGCCGTAGTGGAGATTTTATGATTGAAACCGACCTTTCCCTCCCCCGAGCCAAGCCTAAAGTAAAAAAAAATCGTGTCCCAATATTTGTCATACAGCAAAAATGCGTTCATCTATAGATTCGCTATAACTCTCGGTAAAAGTCTATAACTCCTCCTCCTCTCAGTTGTCTATAAAGTATTTACACGCGATCGCGACGCGAATATGAAAAGCGCACGGCACTTTAAACGGCACTCCGCGTTTTATATTACTGCGAAATTACAGCGGAACGATGTTATAATAATCATACGATAGTTTAGCCGACACTCCCGACGCGTATTTTGTCATATTAGAATGAAAGTTAAACTCGAATATCGCTCATCGCACGGAATACGCGTTCGACACGCTGCCATGTACGCAACAGGTAATGGTAGAAAGGGGGAGGAAGGTGAAAAACTGAGAAGTAATAAGAATTGGGGGTAGTTAGGGGGAGGGGAATAACGCGCCGATACGCGAACGGTCTGCCTCGTTCAAGTGCCGCCGTGCGAATAGTAACAACTCAGGAGCAAGGATTCATTCGTATAAGGTCGTGTCCAGTGATGCCAATTCGAGCTCGCTGGTACCATGGGTACCGTAGTAGAGGGGATACCCACACAAGCGAAATCGCTGACGTCACATGTCCGTGTGGCTCGGTGAGCACACAGTGAGTATCCCCTCCACTACGGTACCCATGGTACCAGCGAACTCGAATTGGCATCACTGATCTGAATAAACACTATTATTGTCGCATGTTACCGCTAGATAGCGATACCGTGAAAAATTGACGCGTTGGGACGTCCTTTGGCTATTAGCAATGAGCAGAAATATTCCCCACACCAATAGACGCCACGCTCGTGGGTGTGAATCAGATTTCTGCAGTCTCTTCATCGTGGTTGTGGGTGGTTGTGGAGTTTGGCCGCTCTACATAATCTGAAGCAAATAGAGAATGTGATGTGACATTTATTCTCCTGCGAGATCATCGTTGTGCTATTTGCCTGCGTTAATGCTACAGTGAAAGAGGGAGAGTGGGCGGATCATTACGCGTCTCGTCGACAGGTCGATGATCAACAAGCGCGCGTCCCGCATAAGTTCGAAGGGCGACGGTGAAGGGCCAAGATGCTGAGATTCCTGTCGCGGCGAAGGGCTCGCAGTGTCGGCGGCCAGACCACTTCGTCGCAGATTAAAAATCAGAGATTACCTAGCAATAAGAATGTTGTGCAGTGTAGGGTGGTGTTGCTGGACGGCACGGATTTGCCGATAGAACTATCAGTAAGTACAGGAGAAAAAAAAAAACAAGCGAGTAAACTGCAATAATGCTATTATTTACACACATCATTATTTATTTGTTTTACAAGATCACTGTGTCATGATTTCTTCTATATCTATTTTTTTGTTATTTTATTTTTATCATAATACTATCATAAACCTTTCAATTTGATATTTTTATTTGGGTAAAATGTGTGTACAATGTTTTATAGCTATTGATCCTTTTTACAGAAAAAAGCATTGGCTAGTGACTTATATGAGCAAGTATTTTATAGTCTAGATTTAATAGAAAAGGATTATTTTGGATTGCAATACACAGATAGCAATAATGTTCAACATTGGTTGGACCCAACAAAACCTATCAAAAAGCAAGTCAAAAGTATGTATATTACTAATTTTTAATTTCTTTCAAAGTAAGCACACAATATTTTCAACTCCTACATCTGCTATTATAGTTGGACCACCATACACGCTCAGGCTAAAAGTAAAATTCTATTCTTCGGAACCAAATACGTTGCGTGAAGAATTAACACGGTATCAATTCTTTTTGCAATTGAAACAAGATGTTCTGGAAGGCAAGCTTCACTGTCCTCATCAGATTGCAGTTCAATTGTCTGCTCTTGCCCTTCAATGTGAGAATTTGAAATTATATTGCAATCTTTATCTAAATATTGTTTAACAAATCATATATTTAAGAAAGTAAATAATTGCATAGTTTGCACAAATAAAAATATTTTGTTCTAGCTGAATTGGGAGACTATGATCCTGGTATGCATACCGCTGCGACGGTCTCGGAATTCCGTTTTGTGCCAGGTCAAACAGAACAGCTGGAACTGGAAATACTGGAAGAGTATACCAAGTGTTCCGGTCTCAGTCCCGCTCAGGCGGAATCCGCTTATCTCAGTAAAGCCAAGTGGCTAGACATGTACGGGGTTGACATGCACATCGTTCTCGGCAAGGACGCCTGCGAGTACTCTTTAGGATTAACTCCAACCGGGATCTTGGTTTTCGAAGGCAACCAGAAAATAGGCTTGTTCTTCTGGCCGAAGATCGGCCGTTTGGACTTCAAGAAGAAGAAATTGACCCTGGTGGTGGTCGAGGAAGATGACGAAGGCCGGGGCGAGCAGGAGCATACTTTCGTGTTTAGACTAGTGAACGAGAAGGCCTGCAAGCACCTGTGGAAATGTGCGGTGGAGCATCACGCCTTCTTCCGTTTGCGCGCGCCGGTCAAGGGCGCCAGCGGCCGTCAGAACTTTTTCCGCATGGGCTCGCGTTTCCGTTATAGCGGCAAGACGGAATTCCAGACGACGCAGCTAAATCGAGCGCGCCGGACCGTGCAATTCGAACGACGACCAAGTCAGAGATACGCGCGGCGGCAGAGTCACGTGCTTCGCGAGAGACAGCGTCAACAGCAGCAAGTGGAGCAACCGCAGCCATCTCCGCCGCCAGGTGAGTTCTACGGAACATCCGATAGCGTTCTTTGAAATCTGTAATCTTGTCAAAAATGTGCGGAGACATTCATCATGATTTTGATTGAAAAAATTGTGCTTGTCAAAATAATAAGTTCTTGCATCTCAGCTCTTATAAAAATAATTTTTATATCATTCTGATTCTACAACACTTATTTTGGAAATTAAAGTTGATATTTTGTTGAAAATATTTTATTGTGCTCAATACTTTCAGCGGAAGAAGAATCTTTGCAACGTCAGCCGAGTCGATCCAGTACAAAGTCTTCAGATTCCTCGAGCGTTCAGGGCACCTCCTCGTCGCCTCTGGTGGACTCCCTCTTGAAGTCTCTCGCCAAAGATCAACAGCCTCTGGAAGCCAGGAACCAGACGACAGTCATTAATAGTGAGAAAGAATCAGAGCCTATGAAGACCAGCTTGACGGTCGAGACTATCGCCAGTCAAGTGCAGCTAGTGCCTAATAATCAAGTAGGAGGCACGTCGTCGTTGCCTCCTCGAACGCCGATTCCACCGGAATCTCTAAAGTGCAATATACTAAAAGCGACTCTTGAGCAGGGTAAAAATTCCAATTTGGTTTCCATCACGTCTAACGACGGACCTGGAGTGATCGGAAAGAAGAATCAGCATTCCGACGCGGCGACCATCGTTTCTGTGGTAAATGTTGTCAAAATATTACTGCATTTTTATAAATAATTTCTCGTCCTGCTTTGATTATTTACATTATTATGTGTCCTTTTTATATATAATTATTAATGTTTTTATTATTTTGTTCTTTTTAATGTTGTATATTTTTTTGTACTTTTGTGCTATTCTGTTCAGTATTGCATAATGAAGTTAGTGGCGTCAAGCAGTTGAGCGATAATCTTATTAAAATTATTCTTTTGTCGTTATTCGTATTTATATATTATTGTGTGCTTGCTTTATATACTGCTAGCTTCCATAATATGTTTGCTTTCTTGCTTTTTTTCGTAAAATAGGGCGGCGATAAACTGACTCTATCCGTGAGCGGAGCGACGACAGCGGTGAATCCTACGGACGATGCTGTAACTGTAACGCATTTTTCACTGGACAGCTGGGGTCAGATCGAACAAAAGACAACACCGTTAAGTCCGAAAGTATCGAATCAATCGCAGAATCCTTTCAATCCATTCACCAACGATACTAGCAACGACGCGCCTAACACGCCCGAAGCTTCCGAGGAGGAAGCGAAGCCGGAAGATGATAAAAAGAAGAATACTAATCCGTTTATAGATTCGAATCCGTTCTTGGGTATACTTAATCCCTTCAAGGATCTACAACCAGTCGCGACGGAGAAAAAGGTCGAGGAGAACACGGAAAATGCCGCGACAACGCGAGTCGTTAAAACCGAAGAGATACAGACAACTACTACCACGCTCACACACAAGGTCAGTTACATTTTTTTTACGCTTGCAAGCCAGCTATAGCGTCCTACTTATTACACAAGTGCGCCGGTTTCACCAAGAAAACTTACTCTTAGAACAAACCTAGACGATTTATCGTCCATTGTAAAAAGAAAAGCAAGAACATTTTATTGTAGGAGTAAGTTACATTTATTGGTGAAAGTATGAGAATTCGCTTTGCGTCCCATGTGAAAGTCCTGTGTGAATAGTGAATAGTTTTCAATATTATTTGAATTGATTATTTAAGATGTTACAATTGAAGTCGCTCCGAGTGCAAGCAATCAACATTACAATCTTAATGATTATTAATAATTGAAAAAAAGTGAAATATGTAGAAAAATAATGCCGCGTATATTAAGAGGACGATTTTTTTTGTAGGACGAGAGCCAAGCGGCGTCGGACATTAGCCCGTGGCTGGTAGCAGACCCGTCGCAGAGCCCAACACCTGATCAAATACCAACTAAGCATACAGTTGTCACGAGAAAGACGGTAATTACCACACAGTTATAAAATATTTATTGAATACAAAGGGAATAATGTGTCGATTTACAATACGCGGGAAAATAGCACCAACGTATATATTTATAACTCTGGTCTTCCTCGGATTGCCTACATCTTTTTTTACTCGAGACGCTTACAGAGCGCATGATTTCAGTACATGCCAATTAAGATCGGACACGTGAAAGTATTTGTTAAAAAAATACTTCTTATAAAAGGGTCCTAAATTACTTAAGTATAAAAGCAGACTACGATTGGGAAGGCGTCGCTTACACTCATTGCTACGAATATTTGTGTCAGATAGCGATGATCGTTTATACGCCGATTAGTTTCACGAGGCAATTTTTTTTTGTTACAGCACCGTAAAAGTTTCTCTTAATTGTACGATGCATTTATCTTAAAGTTACGTGTTAATGAAACAAGTGCCCTTACAGCCTGCCAATATATGTTATAAGTACATACGAGAAGTCTAATCGTTTCAATCACATTTTCTACGCTTTTCTGCAATTTTGCGTTCTCTCTCCCCTCCGCCTGCAACGCGTGGGCGTGCATACGTTTCGCTTCAAGTGCAGAAAACAATAGGATGCAGCTAAAACAAAGGTATCTAAACATAGATCGCGCAGCGCCGTTGACATTAAAACAACGTGGCGAAAGAATGTTAATCTATTTCGACGATTTATATATATATATATATATATATACATTTACGCGCGCAAGACATCCCTGAATATTAAATCTATGCATTTATAATGTAGCATTTTTAAACTACTAGCTATTGTGCCTTCGAATTTAACAGAGACGAATATGCAATACGAATATTAAGGAAAAAGTATGAAATCTTATTTCCTGTGACTGATTAAAACTATAAGTATTACATTACCGTTACAATATCTTATAAATTATATAAGATATAAATTATATCTTATAAATTATATAATAATTGTAAGTAGATCTGACCAAAAGTTTTGGGAACACTTTAATCGGCGCGGAATTATAGGTTCGATCTATGATCGATCGGTTTAATAATGTATCTAAATCTATTCCCGTTCAAAATTTGTTGACGATGTATTTATTTATTATAATAATGACAATAAAATGATTAATATGTGTCACCGCCAGTCTTAGATAAAGCACAATTTGTGCTGGAATAATGCAGCTATAACGATATTTCGTATTTAATATTCCATGCCTGCAAAAGCGAAATTATTGTATATAACAGAGTATATAATTCTCCTGAGATACCTTTTTTATAATTTGTTCCTCATATATTGTTCTACATGCCATAATTTTGATACTTAATTTCTCTGATTGAGAAAATAGATATATCACTATGTTATGTCGTTCTTAGTTATATATACAGGATGTCCCAGTTTCGGTTCACATATGATTGTGGCATTCCATTGTCCTGCGTAACAACGACATAGCTGCCGCTTCAAAGTGATATGACATTTTTACATTAGTACTTAATGCAAGCGATGCATTTAATTACAAGCGGGACCATCAATGTACTTAATTAGCGAATGTTCGTAATAAAGTAGAGAGGAAGCAGATGTCCTCTTTTAACTGTTCAATTTTATGTTGCAATTTTATGTTGGGTTTCCGTAAATCTACATATATTGTATTTAATAATGTAATAGCATTCAGCATTATTGCAACATATTTGATTGAATATTTTTATTGTATTTAATGTCAAGAAAAAATGAGCGACATATCTATATATACTATAATTTCAAAGCTAATATATCTACATTTATATATAAATATATATTTACAATATTGTAATGAATCGATACCCTGATATATTCCGTCCTAAAGTGTCCTATACACTCAATGTTATGTAATTATGATTTTTGCTTTTTAATAAAAGAAACATATTATTAATTAACGCTTATTGTATTTATCCCGCGATTCATATATCATAAAATCCTCGCTAAAGAAAAAATATCACACATATCTGAAGATTACCAAGGAGTATTTTTATAAATCACAAGATTTAGTAAATAAATCTTACGTTTTAATAATAAATTTATTCGAAAATTTTTTCACACATAAAAAAATAATTAGTAATTATATTTTGATTTTTGAAAACACTAATAGGGAGCATTTCTTTACGTTATAAAGTTTAATTTAGTAAATAAATAAATTGAACTATAAATTTGCTAAAACGCATAAATGCCCGTACTGTGTAATGATAGCGTTTAACAAAAGTCTTAATAAGATAAAAAGTGATATAAGTAAACTGCCGTTTATAAATTGTTTTGAGACATTCTACACATATTTATTCAATAGATTTAGAATTCTATCGATTATACTAAATATATAGTTTAATCAACAATCGCGTATTCTCTCACACAACTGGTCATACAGATTATCTTTTCTTCAAAATACTCTCTTCAGTATTTGTCTCTAAATAATTTTTTTCAAATCGTCTATTTGCACTGACATTATGAATTGACGTAAATTGGATTATTGAGTTCAGGATACTGCGATATATAAACTATACGTCTTGAGAGAGATTCCTCCCGTTTTAGCACATTTCGGTACTGGTTCGGTAGTAAAAAGAAAAATATTGACAAACATTTGCATTCGTAAATGCGTTAATATTTACATGGAATGTCACTTCGACGTCATTATGTCTCAAGACGTCTCGTCTCGCTAATTAAAGATTATTGCACGATTTGCGCGACAAGGCATTTGTTCTCCGTCAATTCACTGAGCAGATGAACACGTTTAACGCTTGTTATCTTAATGAAGAAAAAAAAAAAAAAACTGCACGTTCGCCTATCTGCTATTTACACGAAAATTGATATCTTTCGACTTATCATAAAACATATGTTGTCTATAGGCCTTCATAGCAGATGTCGGTTGTCTCACCTTTGGGTTTTGTACATCAGTGTCAGTCGAACGTATTGTATACTGAGTTATTGCGCGTTAAAACCTGCCTGACAATCGTGCATAGAAGGTGGCAAGTGTCAGACAGGTGTTTCGGGATTGTCCCAATCCACGCCGTCTTGCCGGGACGGCGGTTTGATGTACGAGGACTCCCGTACTACGAGGCTCACGGTGTCGGAATAATCTAAATCTACGCTGCGTTCCCCGTCTCGAGGCAGACTCCTGTTGGACGACGGCGAGCTACTGGTCTCCGCGCTACAGTCGTGTCTGAACACGCTGTCCGACTGGGAATGCGTCGGTGTGGACAGCTCGGACACCAGCGGCGTGGACTCGTCGTCGCTCTCGCCGCCGGGTGCCGCGGATCCCATCGGCGTCGTGCCGATCAGGCGGTCCTTCAGCTTTGACAGCTTCTCCAGGCTGGAGGTGGGCACCGGAACCGGTATGACCACCTCATCGCTCAGCGTTGAGATCGAACGCCTCTTCTTGGACGCCGATGACGCCAACGGCGTAGTCTTCAGAGGTATGTTGTTTCCCATGTATCTGTCGTCGGTCGATTTGGACCTAGACGCGGGTTTCGGCGACGGCGGTGGAGAGACGAACAATGAGGACGGCCTGGTGCTGGTATTGCTGCCGGTTCTCTTCAGAGGCTTGTGCGAGCAGGCGGATTTCGTGCTACGTTGAGACGTGATGCTACGTTGAGAATTCGTACGTTGAAGAAACACGGTGGAGTCGTGCGAGCTTTCGTCCGAGCTGCCCCCCGGCTCATCGTTAATCGGCATCCAATGGAACAGCGGGCTCGCTTGAAGCAGCACGTACTCCGTGTCTTGAATCGAGGAGGCAACGGGTCCTAAAACAGAAGCTCGTATCATGTCTGCTTCGTGTAACAATTTAAGTATTTATCATATATATTTTATAATATATTTTCTTTTAGAATATTTTTACAAAGCCATTTAATATGCAAAATATCTGAAGCCGTTTTCAAGTCAAAGAAAAGTTATCCCTTAAATAGGTAAGTTCTTTAAAAAGATATTGAAAATAAAGTTTCGTATAAGAATATCATAAAAGTTACCAATGACAAAAATACTTGTTCTAATTTTCTTTTACTATATTCTCTGGTTTTAACATTAAGCTTTTTTTTAAATGCTTGCGAATAATAATAATATATATATATATATATATATATATATATATATATATATATATAATTGAAAGGCTTCTAAGTACAACTGCAAAGAAGGTAATGTCAGATGTGGTTTGCAAGAATGTTTTATTGCCACTTGCTCTCGTGATATATAACATAATACTGCTCATAACATAGTGCTAACAATCTAATAATAATATTCGTAGTGTACACGTAGTACGGGAAGCAAGATGGACCGGAATAACAGGACGCAATTTTCGTTTATCGCCCAGTACGATTACTTTACATACATTCGTTTTAAAAATATAATATGCCGTTACGTGTCGCCTGAACTAGGGTTTTTTTTTTTCACAAGAAGTATTTGTTATAGCAACAGTAATAACGAGTCATTATCACAGTCTTTTGTACATGAATTATTCACAGAAAACACCGAACGATTAGATTAGCTTCAAGATGATTGTTATTCTGACATTTTTTCTTGCACGCTTACAAATGCAACATTCTCGTGTGTTATCATGCAGTGAAAGCTTACGTTAGAACAATCGGCTGGTGCACATTCAGAGTTGTACAATTTTAGATTTCTCTGACGCAATCCTCCTTTTTTTCTCTTTTCTTGATGGCACTAATATATATATGCATATATATATATTAAACTAGCTTATAAAATGAGCATTATATTACAATAATTCTACGAGTACGCATACAATAGTGATTCTAATCCTATCATTAAATAGCCTTCGTTTTGGATCTTGCGCGATATGTACTATCTGTTTTCTCATATTGGCACGTGAAAACTTTGGGAAAATGTACTTTCTTCAAGGAATAGCTTTTCAACGTCGCAAATTACAAATGGCCTCACAGTAGATAATATATTTGGTATAATCATCATTGGTTTATCGACTACCATCGTAAATGTACATCTTTCGTCAGTAATACTGTGATCAGATAGTGCTTTACACACGTGCAGATGCACAAAGGAAATTATTGAACAGAACAAGGTATGTCGACTCAATTTTCTTTTCTTTTTCTTTGTTACCACAAATGGCTAGTACAGTACAAAGTACCGTCTCCAAATGTTAGACCGTTGCTTGTTTCGTTGCTGAAAAATGATGTCTTTTTTTCTCTGCGACACCGCAGAAGAGAGTTTTATTTAGACAGTACACACATTGTCATCCGATCTCTCTGATTCGATCAAAAGTTAGAGATGTACTCGACGGAGGTGTCACTGTTTAGGTCGGGCGGCGGTGGCTCTTGCACTATAACCAGAGGCAGTGTAAGTGGTAGGGAAGGGGGCTCACCTGAAGAAAGTGAGTCTGTTGCCGGTGCCACCGCGGGCGACGGCACGTCTAACACATCCTCGCAAGCTTCTTCGTTCAAGGTCTGCAACGCCCCGCAAATCATTTGCTCCTCTAACGTTACCTGAAATGCATATATTCGCTCAAGTTTCACACTTCAGAGGATATTTTTCTTATCACGTCTCTTGCACATCTAAATACCAAAGTCAAATTATATTGAATTTCTGAATAATTATATTTCAAACTGTAATAGCGAACTCTTACCTGGAACTAATACCGAGATTGCGAGTGTAAAAAAAACGAGAAATGCAATATTAATTACAGTATTGATACACTAATTCATTCATGAACTAAATTTATATATTTATAACTGTATTAATAATTTTTTAATACATTTAACAATACCTGTTTTTCCATGATTGATTGCTTGTTTTGGTCACGGCGAGTGGATCCGTCCGGTCTTGATGTTCCTTTCTCTTTCTCCACGTGAGTAGGCACGCGTATTGAATTATTTTGTAAAGGGTGATCTATAAGAATTAACGATTGAATCAAACAAGAAGCAAATATATAAATATGCAGAGAAAAAAAATATATCGGTTGTACCTTTACGCAAAAGTTGCTCAGCTCCTACGGTGAACCGGACGCTTCGGGGACCCTCCTCATACGTAAAAGATGAAAGTTCCATTTCTCGAAGCGATGCAATTACCATACGGAATAATTCCCAATCCCCAAAGGCCATCTTAAATACCTTAAAAATAAAAATACGCACTTGAAATTTCCTCTCTTTCTTCAAGATATAAAGATGCAGCGTATCAAGGATTACTTTTTTCAGTTCTTGCAGATCGCAATGCAACAAAACTCGCCCGTTAATGTTGTTGTCTTTGATGACTTGCTTGTACACCGGTGCCTGGGCCGGATTCAGACTTTCGATCTTGTCGATCAAATCGCAGATGCCGCTCACCGGTAGAGATGAGAGTTTTGTTTCCAGAATTTCGGACTACGAATAAAAATGAAGCGATAAGTTTGAACGTTTTCTCAGTACTTAAAAAATACTTGCACAATTAATTTCTACCGGTAATGCGGTTGTTGCGGAGAGCGGTTTCGGCGCCGGTTCCATAGGAGGCATATGCATCCAAGCTGGCGGAACCTGCCATTCGAAGCTCGGCTGGTAACCCCACGACGGCGTTGGCGGCACGGATCCCAAACTCGGTTGCTTAGTAAGTTTCATGTGTCGGTTAACGGCTCTTTGCGGGTGCCATTGATCGATCGGAGCACCGTGCCAGACATTGTTTTGTTTGTAGAGCAGACTCGCGTCTTCCTCTACGCTTTGCTGCTCCTCCTTTATCTTCTTCTTGATGTACGGATCCAGATTGATGGTGAACGGCAAGAATATCTTCATGTCGCTGACGTGCAAACTGGACCGGTGAAAAGTGAGAAAGACATCCAACTTGCGCTCATCCCGATCCATTTCGAGAAGCGGTTGCACTTCTTTCAACACCGGAATTTGTGGTCGCACTCTAATAAATATAAAATTATGTAAAAAGTAGACATACAAACAATAATATATAAAAAAAATAGCAATACCGAGAAGGGAATAAAATCAACGTACTTATCGTAAAGGCTCTTCAGCGACATATTGTCGTCTAGACTTTCTTCATACATATCGTAGTGAAGAATGAGCCAGGATGTCCTAAAAGGCCATTGCTCGGTAATATTGATCCAACTAGCCAGATGATACCAGTTGAAGTCAACTTGGAATGCTTTGAGTAATCGTCCTAAAAAAAGAAAAATAGCGAGATGATTGCAGATGTCTTCGTCTAACACGCACATGTCGCGCAATATATTACCAGTGACGTAAACGACGTTCATCAATCTTCTCATACTGCGGGGATTCACGTCGCTGAAGTAATCGTCGGTGAGCAGCATCTTATTGAGATCTTGCGCGCCGCCCAGCCGATTCAAGTTGCTGCCGATACTGCTGGCGATCGACTCGCTCAATCGCAGCTTTCTGCTGCCCTTTCTGGTTTGAGGTTTCAGCTTCTCGTTGCTGTTCATTATGGCCGATTCCGTGCTGAGTCTCCTGTTGGATACCGAGTGATGCATGGTGCTGGTCGCGGTGTAAGTGACGCTCTCTTCGGCCTCCGTCCACGCCGTCTTCTTGTAGTATTGAGCAGTCTGTTGCGCGACCTTGACTTTACGTAAGCCGCTGTTTTGCAAGTAGAACGGCAGATGCACCATGTTACGCAAGTAATCGTGACCGCCGATATTGGATTCCGAGAATAGTCGTCTGCTATTTACTTCTACCGCCTGCGTGTAACAATGAATCAAACTAGTAATTTTCGTCACTGCTGAATTTTTGTCTCGATTTTCCGATTGCTTACCTTAGCTATAATGTGTGGGTCAATCGCTAGTATTACGACAAAGGGATACCCGTTATCGCTAAATAAGGCCTGTATGGCGTCCAAAACCAGCAGAACTTTGTCCTGCTCGCAACTGTCCAAACCGTCCACTATTATGACTAGTCTACTTTGTTGAGCCATGAAACTATCTAAACACTTGACCTGTTTGAAACCACGATTAAAGTCTAAACATACGATATTACGGCACATTTTAAAATATAATTCATAGATAAATAATCTACCATCTCCGTCATCAGACTGACTTCACTTCGCAGAGTCTGAATAAATCCTTCGCTCTTTAGGGTCTCCAATTTCGAGATACTGCGCTGAAGGTGTCTCCTCTGCGAAAAAACTAACGCCTGCAGCGTTCTGCTCCACGTGTATAGATTCGCTATTATACCGATGGCCAAGATCAAGGCAATTGTTATCATAATAATGTGAGCGGTGACTCGTTCTATCGTGGGTCTAAAAATGGAAAATGATTTAACGCATGTAGCGGCGAGACAAAGATCGAGAGTGTGCGAGGACTCACTTATCGCTCGAAATATCTATGAGGTACACAGTGAGTACAGAGACACCGACGAGCAAGCTGCAGAAGCAGAACTCGAAGATGACTATATACGGCAAGCAGCACAGGCGCCTCCACTTCCACGTTGTAGTCGACTTATCCGGTTTCGGTCTAAATGCTCTGTACAGTCTGGTGGACAAGGAACCGAAGTCATTCTCAACGGAGTCGTACAGCGAGCCGACCATCTGTACAACCGCGTTCTCGCCAGCAGCCGTCGTGCCCACGCGAGTTTGATCGGTGAAGTAAAACTTGATCGGCTGCACCGCTATGCCGTCGTGACACTGACCGCCCGGTGGGTGGCAGAAGATCACTTGCAGCAGTAATTTCAACGCGTTTAGCTTGGTGGTGAGCGCCATTGTTAGATTGTACGACCAGTACCAATCGTACCTGCAAAAGCATTCGATGAAGACGCGGAACAAATGAATTTTCCTTTTTCGCAGTAAGTCTTACCTCTTGTTGGCGTACCAAACGAGTATCAGAAAAATGTAAACAATAACTAATAGACTTATCCCACACGAGAGACCGATGATCCACGACTGTAATAAGAGACCTATTGTGATGCCCACCAATAAGGATATGTGTGCTACTACTAGAAAGAGCAAGGAAGAGAATTGAAATACTGGATCGATCCATTGTCGTGCAAAGTTCTTCATTTCCTCTGCGAAGAATAGTCATTGTTAGCATTATCGTTTTTACACAAAGTTCGAATGCGTAAAGATATGTTATATCCCAGAAGACTCGCGATTTTCCTGTACAGAAATTTGATTCTAATTTGTCAAAATTAATGTAATAAGAATTGAAAATGGCATCAATATTTTATTTCACATTAAATTGTTACGTTTTAATCTTTCTAGGAGAAAGTTTACCCGACATTCATTAATCACAAGCCTGCAAGAAGAGTGCTTCTGGGATATTCTTTAGAATTTTTAAATAACATCGGAATAATTCTATGAGCTATTTGGCAATACCTCTCAGTTTGTTCAGTAGGAATGATTTCCCGGAACCCCACTTTGCGTAAAGGCCGACAGTAATTGGAGTGGAAAGCGAGGGTTCACTGAGGATATCCGCCAGCGCACTGCTATACAAATCGTAACCAAGCATGTTCTCATTGTCCTCATTAGTATTTAAACGCCCTGCAATATTCAAGTTTATTCCATAAAATGTGTTAAAAAATTCTAGCATTTTCTTGCAAAATGTGTCAGCGACGTAGCACCACTAACGCGTTTAACTTACGAGCGCCGAATATCTGTCCAAGAATCGTCTTGGGGTGATTCACGTCGATGTTGTACGGGGTCTCGCCTTGTCTGTTCGGACGGTACAATAACTGGCTATTCTTTGGATTCCGCAGTAGGATCTCGACGATCGCTTTCGATCGCGCGCGCATCGCTACGTGCAGTACAGTGTCGCCCTTCTTGTCCATAGCCGAGACCTTGGCTTTCTTGTCTAAAAGCAATTGCACGATTTCGGCGTTACGCGACCTCACCGCCCGTAATAAAGGCGTGTCGCCGTCTTTCGTGGCAATCTCCAGGTCTGGGTTAGCGTTTAGTAATAATTTGAGTATCGGTATATTGCCTTTCTCTACTGCTATGTAAGTTGCGGTTTTTTTATCCTAGAATATATACGGATGGGGTGGTTAGTTCGGCTGGAACAACTTCGAATGATCGGGGGATGTCACGCATGAACCTAACTCGAAGTGTGGTTCGCGGATACCACGAGACTGAATCCGAGATCGTCTCTTATTAAAGTGCCCATCGTACCAACTCGAGAACTGCTACTTCAAATTACTTTATAAAGTTTCGTATATTGGAATTCGATGCGAGCAACAATCCGGCTTTCCGAAGTAACCGATATACGGGAACTGCGCAATACTCGGTAAAAAAAAAATTTTTTTTTCTTTCAAATCGATCTTCGAGGAAGATACGCGAGTAGGAAAAAGAGTAAGTTGATTCATACCTTGCCGGCAATATCGACGTCAGCGTATTTCTTTAGTAATGATTCTACCACGCCCCGATGGCCGCCTTTAACGGCGTGGATCAGGTTCGTGTCGCCGGCGCGATCCTGAATGTTAACGTAAGCACCGGCATTTAAAAGGGCGCTCGCTATTTCGTGATGACCTTCTCGGCAGGCTATCGCTAGGGCAGTGCAACCGTCCTTGTCTAGAGCGTTCACGTTGGGCTTGTGTTCTAATAGTAATAGCACCACTTCTACGTGATTGCCGAGTGTTGCCACAAGCAGAGCGGTCCACGAGTACTATAAAGAAAATCAATAACAAAAATATAATTATTTAGCCAATAATGTTTCATTGCGATAGAAAGTTCTGTTTGCAATAAGCAATCTAGCTTATACAATCATATAAGAATTATACAAAATATATGTACTATTTCTATTTTAATAGCAATATTTCGGAATCAATTACTGATCATTGCTTCATGTTTATTCTTTCAGCGATTCTTACCATGCCTGCCGTGTCAACGTTGGCTCCGGCCTTCAGAAGGATATCAACAATTTCTACGTTTCCCTTGCGCGATGCCCACACAAGCGCCGTAGTGCCGTACTGAAAAATAATGAGCATTAGCATCTTGGGAGTAAAATATGATGGCCATCGATCGGCACACACTCGCCGACGTTACCTTGTCGCCGACATTGACCTTCGCCCCGTGAGCAATGAGATCTTTCACTATATCAGTATAACCCCTGCCAGCGGCCCATAATAATGAGGAAATGTGAAAATTTCCATGCGCGTTGACGTCAGCCCCGCGCGACAGCAGCATCGTCACCGTTGCCGACCTGCCCTTGTACGTCGCCCACATAAGCGCCGTCCAGCCACCCTAAAAAAAACAACCCTTTGAAATCCCATTTATGTATAAAAAAATTACTATTTTTATATAAAAAAATTTTCCTATAATTAATTTTACGCACTCTTATTAAAGATAAAAATAGTGCAAATTTTAGTTAAACGGAAGAATTTATAAAATATACAAAGAATATATTATCATTAAAATATATTAGCAATGCATATTATATATATATAATAAGTTCTAAAATGTGATAAAACAGCCTTTTAATCATGCAGAAATATAGTAAAGAGGCTTTAAGTTATTTGACGTGAGGCAAAATAATTTTTGTCACGTAACGAGTTTCTAGTTATAAATTTACATCAATGGCGCTACGCCAGACTAATAAAACATGCAACTTCTTCTGACCATGTCTCGGTGCTCCAGATCGGCGCCGTGCTCCAACAGCTCGAGACAGATCTCGGCGTGGCCCTCCTTCGCCGCGCACAATAACGCCGTCCAGTTATCCTGAAAAAGAATTCATTCAAAGTTGATATTGAAATTTTAATCCATATGTAATCAGTTGATCGTCGGCAGATACCAACCGCGTCTTCAGCATTGACGTCCGCTCCATGATTGATGAGTTCTCGGACGAAGTGTATTTTTCCCTTAGTTGCTGCGAGAATGAGGGCGGTGCTACCATTCTGTCACAAGAAAATAATTTATCAAAGAAGGTTCGAAGATTCAAGCACGGCGAATACAAGAAAAACGTTTTCTTTTTGTTTTCGCGTGCTTTAGTAAAATCACCTAAAATGTTTTTTATATTCAAAAATTTGTTGTGCGATAAAAATATTTTTATCCTCTACTTATATACGTATTTCATGTATTTTATTTTTGTTGTTATTTATACTAGCCAGCTCCTTCAGAAATCTTTTGAGTCGATTACCTCATCTCTATCGTCGACCTGCACTCGCTTGTTTTCGAGAAAACTCTGCAGTCCGGCGAGATTATCATCTGTGATGTAGCTCGCAAGCGATCGGTAACAAAGCGATACCATCGAGTCAGTCCGATGCAATGTCTGTGAAAAAGCCAAGAGAAATCGTTAGATTTTGACTAGCCACGTTCATCGTTGTTATGAAAAAATTGTTAGAACAAAATTCGTATAATTAAGATTAGATAAAGTCCACCACAGCTTGCAAAGAACGCATATACAAATGATAAACTGCATCACTCTATCTTAAAACTCAACACACGGGCAACACTATTATTGCTGAGATGTTACTTTTTACAACTATGTTAATGCTACATAAATTTTAATACTAAAATTTCCTCAAATCAGAATTCAGAATTTCTATAATATAATTATTCAGTCACTGATTTAACAATTTTGAAAACATTTCTCAAATTCTTTTCAAGATATTTTAATGAATTCGCGTGATACATTATTCTCGAATATTCGACGTGAATGATGTAGCTGGCTCGCGATAAATTACAAAGGTAAGCTTTGGGGCTATCAAGATTTATGGGCGACGGAGCCAGGTTCAATTTTGGGTCGCCGTAGAAGAGCAATCTCTGCGACATAAATATTAATCTTAACTGTAAATAAAATCTAGCTTCTCCTAAGACTTCTGAAATTGTGACTGCAGACCTCACATCGCACTCCTCTTCGACTTACATCACACAAGAGCGGTGAGTGCGAGTGAAAGTATTGCGTATTGCGGAATATTAGCCGTAATTGCTTCTGTTTAGTCGTAACTGCAACTGATGCACGCGTTCTCTATTTGCGGAGAGGAGAAATAAAGCGCAGCTCGCGCTTCTCGACCTTGCAGAATGGTATCTGGGTTAACAACAATGAGCGACACACGCGGATGATAAGAGGCGATCGCGTGTGTAGCGGAAATAGCGGGGCACAATGAGAAATTAGCAGCATTAATTGTGCACCATCGATGCGAAATAGAAGAGTCAATCTTTCTGTGTTTCGCACTTTCGTTGCGATGTGCAAATTGATTTCAGTATTCTCTTATACTATTTTCTATTATTAATTAACTTTCCTTATCTTATTATTTTATTTATTATAAATTTTTTACCATTATCTCTATTAATATTTGCATTAATGTACGCATTCAATCTATGAATTGATTAGTGAAATAATCATTTAGCACAGTACAGTATTTACGGTAAAATCCAATTACAATCAACTCCGCTCTAATGCTTCAAACATTGAGTTGCTATGGAGTTTACATACATATAATATCATATGCAACACTCGAAAATGTTAATAAAAAGGCATTGTTAAGAGGAGTTATTATCAAATAAAGATCTCGCGGCTCGCAAATATCATGTCTGTTTCTATCAAAAGTTCCCGTGGGAAATCAATTCATGACATTTCACCAACGTTCATTATCGATAAAATCTGCGATCTAGCGTGCGTAAATTGACTTGGCATTTACGGTATATGAGAGGATAACGTTACTATATTACAGCGCGGGATTATATTTGTACTTTAATGCGAAAGTACTCTAACACACTTGACGATGCTAATAATTATTATTAATTTCTGTTACAAGATATTATATAAATCCTAAATTCTCGTTATTGATATTAAATTAAAGATTTCCAAAAACTGTTTAATTAAATTAAATATTGATTTTTAAATAACGCTACTCATATTTCACATTCTAGACTAAAAAAAGATTCCTAGCTGAAGAAAAATAGATTTGAGATAAATTCCTAGTTAACGAAAATAGACTTGCAATAAATTCCTGGTTAACGAGAACAGATAGAATCGATAGATTTGCGACGAGCAGTCTGCTAAAAATATCAACTCGCCTACGCGACTGCGAAATCAAGATCCTAAAATGCACTTCCGCGTCGAGCCTCGAATTATTTTGATTAAAAAAAACCTCTTCAATGCTCGGAATCCGTACGATTTCGGGGAGTTTTACAGCACTTTCTTCGTTTGCTACGGTCGAAACTCTACTGAGTAAAAATCGGATGCTGCGGGCGTGCAAAACGCGCACAGACACATACATACACACACACACACACACACACGCGCGCGCGCAAATTCGGTTAGAAGCGCATTGGATTAACTCTGCTTCATGCGGTCGATTTTGTCACTTTGCTGAAATCATTGGCAGTGGTATGGCTTGCACATACCACGACGATACTGATGCGCGCTTTGCGTCGGAGTGTCACGGTATTAATTCGTGAGCGTCGGCGGATATAGCGCGAGCATCAGCCGTCAAGATCGATGACAGAACCGAGTCGGGCAGAATTCCATTATACACGCACTTGACATTACGTAAGTGCCCCCGAAATTTTCCAAATTACATGGAACGAGTGTGTTTCATCGAATTATCGTTAGAAGCACAAATATTGGTCGACATGTGCTAAGTTTATTAGACTCGTCAATACTACGTCAATAATTAGACTATCACTACCGAAACGTCATTAAACTAAAAAAAGATATAGTAGTCTAAGAATTATTTGGAGAAAACTCAAAGTTAAAGAATTTTTAAAACGCGATCTGCGTCAATTAAATTTTGGATATCTGTTTCAATAGCTAATAAATATATTAATTATCAAGTAATTATCAAGTAATTATCAAGTAATAATGCACAACAGCAGACAATTTCCCAATTGTTGTCTGATATAATTACGAGACAATTGACCGTGACATTTGGTTCTTACTCGTAGATTAGTCTTACTTGCTGGTTATAAATGTCTAAGCAATAATTCCGATAAGATAAAGGCTCAGACTGCGTCAACGTCTCCGTCGTTCGACGTTCTTCGACTGCCTGCAATCGCAACAATTAACGTTTTATTATCCGTCGAATCGTTTCGACTCGGTTCAATCTTAACTAAGCGTGTCAATTTGAAGCGTGAATCGTTTTAACCGGAGCGTACACTAGTATTAATCGAATCTGGTGTTACAAAAACACTCCCGTCAACGTCTGGCCAAAGCGATTCCATTGCTGTCGGCTTCACTATATTTGATAAAGTAACATTAGGTCTTACTTTAATTCTTAATTCTTTAACTAAGAAGAATTAAACTTTTTATTCTTCTCGATTAAAGTTTAACAAAAGAATCAAAATAATTCCATTTTAATTCTTCCTATTAATTTATCAACATAATCTGATGATTCTGAATCATTTCCATAAAGATAAAAATCAACCAGAATCTAATTGTTAATTATTTGAAGAATTTAGAATGGAGTAAATTCATAATTTTCCCAACCTCTTGTTCATTAGTGTATCATTTCGCGATTTCAAAAACAATATTTTTCTTGGCTAAAAGATTGACTTGGCCAGACTCTGACTCTCGTGACAGATGTTAACGGGAAAGAAGGCCAAACGAAAACGAAGGAACGGCGTGCTTGAATTCACACTAACCACCTGCGAGTGCCTTCGAATAGCGAAGTTGAACTTGCGACCGGTGCCGTCGGTAGCCGGCGCCGTGAAGGTGATGGTGGGTACATGAATGTGCGGTAACACATGATGATGGTGATAGTGGTGATTGTGATGATGGTGATGGTGCATGTGGTGATGATAGTCCTCGTTGGCGTCGCGCCAGGTCGCGTCGAGACGCGCCTCGGATATGTTAAGGCGCAGAAACGACTTTAGCCGGCGGCGCGTCCGACCGATAGAAGCGTCGTCGCTGACGTTGGTGGAGGTGGTTGACAGGTTCGACAGAGTGACACTTCGGTGCAGATTACTGTCGTCGTGGTCGCCGCTTGGCAAGAGGGAATTTGGCACTCCGGGAATCGCCCCGAGCAGGCTCGGCGCCAGACTCGAGCAGATCGCCGCGTTCGCGATGCTGAACTTCCGGATCGGATTCACGCTCGTGCCGGCCAGGATGTCCTCGAAGGTCGGCGATTTCTGTCTGGTGCCCGTCTGGTTCTCTTGCAAGACGGATTGATTCAGATCGGCGCTCGTCAGCGGCAACGTCGACCTGCGAGGGCCGCTTTTGCCGCTTTTCTCGTCAAAACTGTCGCGGGCGGTGCTCGTCGCTGAAGATCGTGACGCTGCATCGGATATTTCCTTGACAGCAGGCTGAGAGAGTTCTCTGACGCTGCTCGATTGTTCTGTTAATTTTGAAAGCCCAAAACGTTCGCTGAACTCCAAAGTGTCCGCAGGAATTTCCAGCATATTAGGTGTTAATTGAGAATACCTCGAGTTGTCCGCATTAATTGGTTTCACTTGAGCGCGCGCCGAGTGGTCCGCGATTGACAAAGATTGAAGCCCCGCTGATGACTCCTCCGTAACGAGATTTTCGGGCTTGTACGCGGCGAAGACCCGCTCGGAATCCGCCACCGGCGCCGACAGTCTTCGCATCTCCATTTTCGAAATTATATCACTGTCCGCGATACGTTCTTTCTCTGCATTACGAGTCTCGGCAGTTCGTTGGTCCACGTTGTTCACGCTCGACGAAACCCTCGACAGATCGGAGCTTTCGGACGAGCGTCGAAGAGCGCAGCTCTCCACACGCAATGTAGAAGCCGCAAGTTCGAGGTCAGGTTCAACGGCCGGATTCGAGGAAATTTCCACTTTCGCGACACTTGGCTCCTTTACGACACTTTTCGAGTCAGACGACGAGGATATTTGCGAGAGTGCTTTCTCTGATTTTTTCGTTGGCGACGCTTCGTCTTCCTTCTCCACGTCGTCTCCCTCGTCGAAGCTGACGCGGAAGAAAGCCGCCGTAATTCTAACACGCTCGTCTTTGGCCTTCCGCATGGCATTCTCTTCTCACTGTCCATTCAGCACAAAAATTGAAAACTATGTATTTTCACTGGCTGTGAGTGAAGGATTGTCGAATTTTGACACAATTGCACTTTTTTTGAGTACGCATTCATTATCGAAATAACAAGTGTGCGAATATAAAATTAAATTTTTCGAAAACAAAAATTTTATTTAAAGAAATATATTAATATTCATCAAATAGATGGATGAATGTTTCACATGAATTTGGAGAATAAGGTGTGTGTTTTATATATTAAATAATTTAAAATAATCGACCCTTTCGTGAAAAACGCAATTTTTTAAACGCAGTGCATCGTGTAATGATGTTTCACAACTTAAGACTATTGAGTATTTCCTAAAAAATATGACCTGCAAAATACAATTATTACTGCCTTGCTGTTTTCTGTTGGATCATAATACTGGCTGTAATAAAGATAAAGAGCTGAAAACAATTAGTTACGAACCAATGATATCAATTTCCGATATAGATGCGAGAAGAAAAATCAACCTTCTCAAATAATCACTTTCATGCATAAAACATTTCCAACTCATCGACTTCGCAGCAGTTTCGATCGCTGTTTGAGATTATTTTAAATTATTGATATACCGTGCGAAACAGACCCTGGACAGAGTGGTGAGTCTGAGCATCTTTTCGAAATTTCGCGTGGTCATCACTCGTTCGGTCCAGCTGATCGGCCCGGCTGATCCGATAGCACTTCTCGACGCGCGCGACGCGACTTCTCCGTCGCCGATGAGTAACAATTGTAGAAACTGTGGCCAGAACCGCGGCCGCGGAAGCACCGACAACGCCGACAAATCGTACGAGAACAACGTGCGGGTACATCGCGCGACATTTATATATCGCGGTGGGATCTCTCTAAGCTCGTGTACATACACACAGTCTGAATCGTGCGCGCGTCATGTGTAACAACGCGCGCTGCGCATTGTCAGTACCGTAAGTTTCCGATCCGGAAATTGTTTCTCGTCGTTGTTTTGGTTCAATATTGACGCGTGTGTTTGAAACTCTCGTTATAAATAGATTTCACACAACGTCGCTAATTTTATGAAATGCGGAAATAATGTTCGAGAAATAATATGATACTTTCAAAGACGCTTAGTGCTTTGGATCGCTTTTGAAATTTTATCCTAAAAATAAGGACCTTAAACGACATTTTAATTGTCTGAATTTTACCTCATTTCAATATCGAAATAAGCGTGTTAAATATTTCACAACAAGTGCCTTTTTACTCGGAAATAATGCGCGGCGAAATGCAGAATAAAACTGCACTTGTGCTTCAATGCCGAGGTGAATCGGAGAAAAAAAGTGTTTTGCTCCTACATCCGCTCATATTTTACAAAAGTATAAATGTCACGTAGACTATGTCATTATGCGGAATCCGTGGCCGATTGTTCAGAACAGAGCAGGCGGAGATATTTTTCGAGATAATAATAGCGAGAGAAATACAGCGTGTCAACGACGTCATCGATTCGCGATAACGCATTATGCGGCATGGGTGCATAATTGCAGGCGGTCTGTAATCATTCGCGGTTGATCCTACTGTTGTGTGTCATAGATTTGATGCAGTGGCGGTTTAATTAAGCAATATACAAACCGCGATAAGCACGCAGCGATTATATTGCGTTTTTTATTTGGCTCCTCTCGCAGTAGCGTATCCGACGACCCAGTTAAAAGCACGAATGAAAAATGCAGACGGATTCGAGAATCCGCCGGAAAATGTGCGAAATTTAATTGCAAAAAAAAAATTCTCAACTTGTCCCGCGCGTTCAATATGCTGCGTAACTAACTTCGGAAATTAATCAAGTCTTCATTCACTCGCGCGATCGAGATAAATTCTCAACAAATATTGAAAGTCGTAGTCATTGGCCACTTGTTTGCGACAGATGGTCAACAATTGACGGAAATGTCAAAGCGCAATCGGGAAAATATTTTAACGTAATTGCCACATTGTCAGGCAAAAATAAAAGCTGTATTCGCGGAAGACAAATATAAATATAAAATTTTACCGTACAAATTCAGAAAATATATCAATAAATATAGCTTACATCTTACATAATTGTTGTAAAAATTTGCGTAATGTTTAGAGACACTTTTATATTTTAAATTATTAAATATTTTTTCACTTTGTATTAATGCAGTTCAGCTTTTTCAATACATTTATTTTTAACTATTTCTCCTGCTGCCATTTTAAATAATAAATATTGTGAAGCTTGCGAGAAAAAAAGCAATAATGCAAATAAAAAAGTAATAGTTTTAAAATTTAGTATAAAAAGAAGAAAGATCGACTCTGAATTGCTCACAAAATATTGCTTTCGTTTAAACACAAACATTAGTTTTAAAAGCGTTCGCCGCGGTTAATTCTCGCGTTAATCCCGGCCAATTAAACTCTCGGTAAACTAATCAATTGTGTACGCGGAACTTTATTGAGCCTCATAAAATGAAACAATGCCGTTCGGCAAAATAGTGTCACAATCGTTGTACTAGCGTGCGGCGCACCGAATCGAGCTAATAACACTATCGCTACAATAAGTTACAATTTTTGTGTATTTAATTTTGCCCACTGAATAAATAAAGCAACGAAAAATAAGTTTAGGTCAACTGTGCAACTGTGTTCGTGACTAATTATTTATTCAAAATGATATTCCAGAAGATAGATTGTAATAGTAAATACAATTGACTAAAAGAAAACAAACAAATTGTGCTATAATAATAACACCAAAATTGAAAGGCTCAGTGCAATAATACTCCAATTCTTTTTAAAGAAAACTAAAAAATTTAATTAAAATCTGCAATTTTTATGATCTTAAAAATAATTTTTTCAAACTCTTAAGAAAAAATCAAGCAAATTTTTATATTAAGTTTTTTTAATTGGATTTAGAAAGCAACGACCTCATTTTAAACCATATTTTGTCTGAAATTTCGAATTTATACAATTGATAAGCAATCGCACACAATAATATCGAGAAGTCAACTGAAAAGGCGACGCGTCGTCGCACATGTGACATATATTGATGATCAATAAACATGATAGATGAAGAACGATCGTGAAATCTGGTAGGAATAATTGCAAAACGAATAATGAACATTAAATCGTAAAAATCGTTGTGATACCTGCATTAGTATAATGCAAAAATTATGTGCTGAATGAAATGTTGATATTTTTAGATGCATTATTAAAATTATTAACATTATTTTTTATGATTTTTTATTTCAAATATCACTTCTCTTTGAAATAAAATATCCAGTATATTTTTATTCGTTATTTTTTTAGGATTGTTACTGCAATTTGTAGCAGATGCAAGTTGATTAGTTTTTTATCAATTCTAAATTCCTGCGTGTATTTAATTATCAATACTATGTACTCAGTTATGCTATAAATAACATTTCTGTCCCTGTCATTGAAACATCATTGCACGTTACGTGTAAAGAGTATCGACAGCTAGACACTATCGAAAACCGATGAAGAATTTATAATTATGATAAAAATTATGTATGTAATCTGTTCACGTTACATAACCATCTGTTTGCACCCATAATGAACCCATTTAACATTTTCTAAATTGCAAAAAATTCTATGAAAAAAAAAAGGTAATGTATAATATAATATACATATATGTAAATGCACATAATATCTGTATAATATTCCTGTGTAAAAAAAGAACGTTGCATTACATTTTAGTAGATTTAAACTGCAGAAAAAAATTATTCTAATAAATATTCGGAGAATCTAGCATGACGTCGCGCAAGCCGCATAAATTCATCAATCGTCTTCGACCTGGCATGGGATCAAATTTATTGTCGCAAATAGCTTACGCACATGTATATTACATATGTATTTTCAACTAAAACACGCACTACATTCTGCTTGTCGCCTTTAACTAGTATACACTTCCATTCCGCAATGATATCAGTTTCGAAAGCCGGACACGCGCGATTACATATTCGATAAATTATGTTGATAATCAAGATGATCAAACAACATTGTTCATGTCGTATTAGAGATATTCAAACTGTGACATGTGTAAAGCAATAAAATTCATATTGCTAGACAAATATCAAGTTGATGTAAAAAAATACGCGTTTATTGCGAGTCGCTTATAAAGAAAATTATTCTAAATGCAATTTTAAAGTAATAAGTGTAAGATATTCTGAACCACAATATTCTAAAAATTATTTTTGTCTCCACGCCAAAAAGGGGTTTCACCGTTGGACAAAAACATCCATCACCGTGAAGTACGTATAATTTCGACTCAACATTATTATTTCAACATCTCACGCACGATTTATATTAAGTACGACAAACATTATGAGTTAAAATATCCGATGCCGTTTATTTTGAGTCAACGTTATAAACATCGGTGGAGTAAATATCGGCGAAAATAGTGCAATTCGAGACAAATGGTGAATTCTAACAAGCGCGTGATTCGTCTGCGCATCAATTTACTTTGAAAATACCACACGGAACCGAGGTCCGCAATGCAATTAAAAGAGACGCCGAGTCTGTCATAAGCCGGCACCTTGTCAGCTTGCTAGAAAGGCTCGTTGACATCGCTATTGCTCGTGTCATTTGTCTCGAGAGGTGTCCCAACGAACTTGGCACGTTCGTCGTAGTAAAGAGTGAAAGAGGACGAGGGTTTCATTCATGAAATTTCGCTCGAGCGTTTCCTGAAGTCAGCTGTTACATTGCAATTAAAGAGATGACTAAGGACGATCGAGTTAATTATCTGCTCGTTCTACATCGTTGTACGACATCGTTGTAATCTTGTATTAGGAAGATTAAAGCGAATAAATATTTTAAATATATACCTGTGTGTTAAATTAGCAAAGAATAAAATTGTCTAAAAAACCTTAAATTTAAGCCTTAATTTTAATAATCATAAGAAGACATTGTATTTAAGGACAATGCTGCAAATTTCATACTTTTTTATACACAATTTATTCAGCTTTTAATTTTTAATATAAGATAACGTTAAATAATTGATTATTTTTCATTTTAAATATTGCAAGATAAAAGAAATGTTGATAAATCCGAAACGATTAAATCGTAAAAATTGCTACATCATCTACCTGCTTGCTTTTGTTCCAGAAGGATTGAATAGCTTGTTGGCACGTCGAGGAAAGAGACCCGTAGGTTCTGTTAGATCCTTGTGACGAGAAGGATGCATTTCGTCGGTTGATGATCAAACTCGTTCTCTCGTTAGTATATTCCATGGAACGGAGATCGGTGGCAGATCTACTCATGCTCCGATTAGTCGCAATCAAGAGAATCGATTAAGATAATCAGTCGTTTAGATTGCATACAGTTCATACATATGCTTCTCATATCTTGCCTCGCATTATGCAGAATATTCATAAATATACAATACAATACGTCGCATTGGATTAATTTGCGTCGCAACGTTTTCAAACAATTTCTATTTAACTTTTTTGCTCTGGATTTATTTCATCCAGCTGCATCTTTGTGTAATTTTATTATTTTTCGCTTCTTCTCGGCAAGATGGATATTCTGCGTTTCGCACAGAGAGCGTGTCAAAGAGCAGTTGAACGAATACGATGCTTCTGATTGCGGGTGTGCGAATGTAAACAGTTGGAGCGGATCCGCTCCGACACACTTGTTGAATGTAAAATAATCATTTTGTGTCGCGGAGGTACCGTTAGTGTTTCGTCACACAAGTTGGCTTGCTTACACGGTCACTTTTTGCGTTCCGCAAAATGGAAGCGATACGAATCAGGTATGTGCGAGGTGTCCAAGGCTGCGCTGCACGTGTCGGCCACGATTATTCACAATGGTTTCAGTAAATTTCCAAGACATTATATGAACGCATAGAGATTCTAATAGTCATCGCGGCGCAATTCGATCCATCTAACAACATCAGCGCGCTGTTAGACGCATGGCGTCATAATGAAATAAAAAACCGTTTCAGCTTGTCTTCTAACATGCACCAAATAAGACACATCGCGCGATACGCGAGATAATTGCGTTATCTTTTCACGATTAACTGTTATCTACAATCGCGAGTCCATTCAGTCACGCATAAAAAAGCGCGCGGCATAGAACAGATACGTGAAAATATCTGAATCAGGTCGCTTCGAGAATCACACATTTTTGCCGAACGCATCACAAAACACGTCATGACACATTTCCGCGTCCTGCCTCTGACGCAAGAAAAGGAAAAGGATAATTTCGAGTGTGATGTACTACGCAAGCGCTCCGTCCTCGAGGAAACTCATCGGGAGACTCGCGAGCCACCGAAAAGTCGCGTAAACGTTTGTTTCACAGATAACGAGAGAGCGCGTCTTGTTTCCGTGTCCACCCCCTCGTTTATCGCCTCGAGCCGCAGTCTATCTGTGAAAAGTGCTCTTCAGGGTCACGGGGGATAAACTCTGAAGAAGCTTTCTCGCCACTCTCGCGCGGAACACTGCCAACTTTCGACGCAGAACGGATCATCGTCCGCGATACAGTCATTAATTATCGAACGGACTTGTCATCCGCGTACGAATTATCGCGAGTAACAAACCGGAGCGATTGAATGGCAAATAAGTCGCGGATGAAGAGTGTCCCGGCTGTAATTTCCGCGACAGATTTCGCGACCTCGCGCAAATTAACGTCGGAATAAAAGAGCGTTGCTCCGCGAGCGATGAACTGCCGAGATCTGAGACGAACACGTGTATGACCAATTATCAATGTCTCACAACCACGACATTTGATAAAAGAAAGCGACCATTCCGCGCCAGATATCGTATCTTAAGATAGACTATACAAAGCCAACTGAGACATAAATTTATCGATAAAGACTTAGAGTGGATATAAAATATCGAAAAAATATGGTGTAATGCAAACAATCTTTCTAACGTTACAATTTTCACACATATGAACAAGTCTCCTTACGCAATACCGATGGCTTCGAATTATCAGGATCTGCCAAGATGACAAAGCGAAAATTGATTTCCTACCTTTAATACTATCGAACGATGAATATCGGCCAGAGAGATTTCTGGTAACGCGCGAACGCTGCGTGATTCACGGCGCCACTAATGAAATTTCACAATTGATTTTGCGCGCGGCTCGCGATCCGAGTGACAGATTTATCGCCCTATCGCGACACGAGCGAGACTTTTTAATCGATCAACCGTGGAGCATCCTTCATGTCGAGCATCTCAGTAACATCGAAAACTGCCAATGCGCGAAATCGCGAAATGAGATCCTTGTTATTCGACCTCCCCATACGTCACCGATTTGCGCACGTTTTTGGCAGCGCTTCATAAATGAGCAATGTTTACCATGATTCAGCTCATAAATAGTCGAACGACGCTGTTTTAATTTTGCACCAATATTAAGTAACGCTAATCTTCGTCTATAATTAAAAAAAAGACGAGCACCGCAAAAAATAATCATTGCACAATCTCAAAGAATTATCTCATCCACTTAGAATTTAAAAAAATCGTGCAAATTCTTAGATAATGAGACTTCGATAATGATTCTTAAATAACAAATTCTAATCTTAGAGAAAATCGATCGATATTATAAATAACAGAATTCAATTTAAAAAGAAAAAAATCAATGATAAAGTTATATCGCAGTCTCATGCCTCATCGTATTCATCAAAATAACAATTAGCTAAATTAAACGGAGATACGTGAAATATTCTTAGACACGATCTGGCAACGAATTACCTCGATCTTTCCGCAATTAACTAAAAATAGTTCGAAAAGTTTTAATTAGAGCTGTTGCTCGTCGTCCGCCCGAAATATCCGCCCGGATATCCCGCATCAAGATCAAGCGCAGCCATGGCCTGTTTTAGGCGGGAAGCGACTAACCCTCTCAGCGTTGACAATGAAAGATTTTGGCAAAAGGCGGGCCCGGGTACCTTCGAAAAGAACGAAGACACATTAATCAGTGTCGCACCCAAGAATCACGGCGTTGCGCTGGCACAATTTCGAGGGTAACCGAAAATAAATCTGCGGCTGCATAATCGCGAGGTGGAGACCGATGCACCATGCGGAAGCTGGCGGTCGTTTAGAACAATGCGATGCGATGCAGCATTGTCTTAATTTACATGATAAAATTGCTATACGTACAATAAGTATTCTGCACATCGCGAAACTCGGCGGCAAAAATACGCGCTTCTCGTGAATCGGCCGCGCGTTGCGAAATTACGGCGCGCTAAAAAAATGCATTAATCCTGCCGAGCAAATTTCGAGTGTAAAACGTGCACAATTCGTACAACTAATGACGTTGCCAGTGGCTTCCGCGATAAATTGCGTGGGCTTAATACTTCCGCGGAAATTTAACGGCATGTATACATACGTATAGAATGATACGCAATGCCGTAGCGCGGAAACGGAATGATTACATTACGTTTACGATATCGAATATTTAAATATGAATGTATAATACGCGGTATTTTTCCAGCTTTTTGCAACAATTTCTTGTTGAATTAATAATAGCAATAAAAAATATCGGAAGTTTCGAAATATTAAAATATTCAGTAAAATCAGAATATTTTAAATGCGATATCGAAAAACGAATTAAGTTAAAATTAAATGATATTATTTTTCTTGCTACTTTTGCTGAAAAAATGAATAATTTATAAACAATCATCCATTATTCAACATTATCTACATTAAAAACAGTCATCTTAAAAGTCGATAAAAAAAGTCGATTAAACTGTTATCCATTTTTAGGAAGCAGGATGAAGTTACGCGGAGAGAAATTAATCCACGTTTAAATCGCATTTTGTGAAAATCCACAGCAGCGGAAGTTTTTTATCACAACTGTTCTCCGAGTTACAGTAAAAGCGCAGAATACAATGTGGCGAGCAATGAGAGACTAGACGAGAGAGTTGAATCATCGCGTGTTTTGCGCCATTGAAAGTACACTGCCAAATAGACAAACCCTACGTGACTCCGCAAGATAATATGAATGACGTAGTTTTGACCCATTCAGCGCCAGAATAGAGAATAGGTCAGTCAGAAAATGCGCAGTGTTGCAACAATATTCGCGACGCATCTGTCTCGTCGACGAGAAACACGCGTTTGTCATACATCACACGGTTTATTTTCAGTGCATGACAATAATTTTAGCGAACACGCGAGAACACACGATAATAGACTTCCTTGAAGCATAAAGTGACTATCTCTTTATGCCTTTTGCTATTGCAGAAGTCGCGCTATTGATAAGACACATTCGTCGGAGAATTTATAGCCTGTTGTACCTGCTTCGAACAATGTCTAAAAAAAAAGGTTAGTGTTGTACACAAGTGTGCTGTAACATTTCATTGTTACAGCTTTTGAAATGTACCTTTAACAATTAGTAGGTATTCCTAAAATAAATATTCAACTTACAGTCCCAATTTTTAACGATAAAAGTATTCATCATATGATTATCTCTAATTGAAAACGGAAGACAATTACGAAATATTCCTGCGGCGGAGTTACCTCGTGAAACCGATGTTCCAGACGATGCACGATGTTTTGAGGCCGTCCTTTCAACAGAGAAAATTGATTTCTGCAACATTCTCGCGTTGCAGTGACGTGCTTGTAAGTCTTGTCGCTGAGCACTTTGGTTTTCAATCGCAGATGCGACATTCTGAAGACAACTATTTCTCAACGAACCATTCGAGTCTTCCCACACGATAGATTCATTCACTACTCGTCTTAAAATTATCCCGGCGAGAGATAGGTTAGTTAAATTCGCACTATTTACGCACTATAAATGAACTTCAACTTTGGTATTTCCGATGAAGCAGAGAGCTCTCCTTGCATGCACTGCCTCACGATGTTCGTCGCGCTTTGATAATAACGCTGCACCAGACGTTCACCTCAGTTAACTCTCATAATTACTTAATTGATCACAAGTTCGGTGAAGCGGAATTAAGAAACGCACGAATCGCGACGACCGTACCGCGCCAAGTTGGATTTCGGAATTGCGGTTTCGCTTCGTGACGGTACGCAGGACTAATCGTCTGCTGCTGCATACGTTTCCTTGACTCACCTCTCAATAGCCTGAAGGCTGTGAGGATGTATTAAAGAGCGGTGGTACGATATTGCTAGCTCTGTAGTTACACTTATATTGCTTGGTGATTCACAATTGCACACAAACGTCTATCGTAAATGGTATGAGCTCAAAAAAAAAGGAACACAAACAACATCGATCCTCGAGATTCGAGACGATGATGCTAATCAAAAGATTGCAGTCGTAATTAATATTGACAGATCATTAATTACGATAAATGCAGGTGAATGAGATCAGACTGCACGAGAAGCGGATCGTGTTTACAATATTTTAAAAAATCAATCCAATTTATTCGCGTTTATTTTATTCTTAAATAAATTTTTTTAAAAATTGGATTAATTTTTTGAAATATTATAAAACGTTTAAAAACGACTCGCTTTGCTCGCCGATTCAAATCATCTACATTTTTCTTATTTTAAATTATTACCTAGTATTGCTCTTAAGCATTAGTTAATTGTAAGTTAAATTGAAGCTTATTTTCCTTGTTACGTTCAATAATTCTCTTTGATCGTTGAAGATATTTTATTGATGGAACGATAAATCCGCTGTAGTTTATCGATAAATTTTGAAAAATTCTAATAAGATTTATGTCATGTTAGATAAAACGCACGAACGAGGCAGACTGTCATATTAAATGCTTAAAAAAAATCACACTCTCATATTTGCACATAACTGTCGATAGTAATCCTCGCAGAAATAACCTTGGTAAAGATAGCGATTGTCGCCATAGAGCAAGGTAAAAAAAAGGTATGATCTTTTACGACTGATATTTGTAGCTACAGGTTATAGCGTTCCCCACATCATTTAATGTAACAATAATCACTTTCGACAATAATGATCCCTTTTAATAAAAAATATGTAAATTCAAAATGTGCATATAAAAGTAAAAATCATATATTAACGATTATCACAAACAATCAATACCACGCGTGCGGTTTTAATAACTCATGATATAATATCGACGAATTAAATGCGTTAGAAATTAAAATTCATGGTTAGACGGATTAGATAGCCTTATTATGATGTAGAATTATCCGGTTGAGATAAAGAGTAGCCGATCGCGATTGTGGAGCGATCGATCGCTCGAGAGGATCGATCGATCAGCTGATTCGCGTGTTACAGAGTTCGCGTTTTCACTGCTGCACTACTGCGAAAAATAAAATGGAAGTAAACGCGTGCGTCGGAGCGTATTTGCCTACGGTTTAGCACGCGGTTTATCTTCTCTTTGTCGGTTATTTATCATCTCTGACATATCACACTTTTTAAGTGCTTGATAAGCGGTCGCCTGAATCTGACAACACATGCAAAATATTTTTGACAGATTTATAACTGTTTTCGTATTTATTTAATAGCAAAATTTTAATTAAATATGTCAATCAAAAAATATAATAAATTAAAGTATATTAAAATGCAATTATTATATTAATACTGTTAAATTATAATATTTAATAGTTCAAGTGCTCAATTTAATTCGAAATTACAAGTTTCACTGTAAAATATTTAAATGCATGGGATAGCGTTGAATTCTTCGAAATTGCGGAAACTAAACGGGATAATGACTCATTTAATAAACGCAAGCGGTATAAAAATTTTAATGAATCACTATCTGCATGCGGACAATTCGAATTAATAACTGAATTGAATTAATAATGTTCGTAAAAGTTCTGTATTTATCGCGTTTTATTCTTTGAAACAAAACAAAAATAAAATATTTTACGAAATTACGCTCACTTTACACATAACTCTTCTCAAGGGAACATTACTTCAATTTTATTTTAGAATGTGGAACTGAAGGACAAATTTCATCGAAGATGTTGACACTTCTACTGGTTTGCATACCGCGAATTATTTTCGCACTTCTCGGCATCGAGTATTTTACGAGAAGTAAATCGGGTGAATTCAGGCCACGCGTCGCGAATATATAGGGCAGGAAAACGATCGAACGGCAAGAAGAAGACGTTGGAAGCGCAAGAAATTTAGAAATTCATACTAGTAATTTGCAAGTAAATGTCTCTGCCACAGTGCTCAATGGTTGAATATTTTATTGCTGTTTTTATTAAAATCTACGTAACTGTTTTCCGTTATCTATTCCACGAATTATTTTTTCCGACAAAGAAAACATCGTAGCGTTTTTTTGAGATATAACTTAGCATTCTAGTCAGAAACATTTAAAATAACAATATTATTGATTACGTTAATCTATAAATTAAATATAAATTAATCGACGAATAATACCGAGAATCTTTAAAACTGATCTTTCAAAACTTATCATTCCGTCAGAGATTATAAATGCTTTAATAATTTTCACAAACAAAAAATAATCAAAAATGTCAACTAAGAGTTATACAATGACAGGTTAAGAATTTAACAGTGACAAATTTGAGAAGATAATTAAGTGTCTTTCAATAGCTCTCGTAATAGACGAGTGGGGATCGAAATGCAAATTTACCCGTCATCCAGAAGTCGTGAAAACGGTCGTGAGAACTCTCGTTGCTAATTTAGTCTAAGGGCGCGATGGAATAGTCACCATAAACCACGGCAAAGTAGATTGAGGCCAAGGGGGGATCGAAGGCTTAGGCCTTTAATCACTCACTAAACGAAGCAGTACGTCATGTCGTTTCTTCATCGTCATTCACAATCTTCATGATTGTCACGATATTTGACGTCACGCAATTTGCAAAACATCGAAGAATTACTTAAAAATTTCTTTAATGTATTCTCTTCTATTATCTCATCTGTTCCTTCTATTATCTCTTTTCGTTGTCGGAAATTTTTCTCATTTTACGAAGTTTTTACCGGCGACGTCACGGAACTTTATCACACTTCAAGCATTAAATTTTTCTGCCTAAATATTTAATTCTATTTAAAACAAATTTAGGCACAAGTATGCATATCATTTAAAATTGCATATCTATCCACACGTTATCAATCGTTTCACTGCGTTGCAAAAATCTTTGACAAAGATATTTTTCAATTATGTAAGACACAGTCTGAATTCGCATGAAATCAGGACGATATCGGGAGACCACGGGGATTAATGACGATAGTTCAATCGCGTGGCTGGCTCGTTCAGCTCTCGCACGAAGCCGAGCGGTGCAATATCCTTCGCGTACTGCGGCCGAGGGAACACTTGACCGAGGCAACAACACCTGACACTCGCGTGTGGGCGATCCACGTGGACGCGGGGCCGGCCCGTTCGCCAGGTGGTGCGAAAAAAGAGAGGGAAAACGCACGCATCGACGACGACGCCGTCGACAACGTCATCTCCCCGCGTAGGAGTGCTGAGAATGTCAAGAGAGAGAGAGAGAGAAAGAGAGAGACGTTGCTCTTCTCTATCAGCGTTAAATGTTTAAGTGCATCTAGCTTATGTTAGATAGCGACCCGTATTCTCGAGTAATACATTTAGTGGTAATTTTATTAGCCATTTCACGGTAAGATTTATGTGCTAAATATTCAGATAAAGTGTTTAATGTCGATTAAATGAGAGACATACAGTCGCATTTAGTGGTAATTTCATAGTAAAAATTCTATCTAAACACTAATTGTAGGTATCTAGATAAAGTTGGATATTGGCTCATTTTTACTGTCTATTAGAAGTGTCATTCAATAAATATAAAGATTATACTTAATGTCAATAAAATAATGATCAAAAGTAGACATACGCTAAATGTATGTTAAGAGCATATAATGTCCAAATTCTATGTATTTTTAAAATTTTCTAATCTAATTAATGCTATTAATTATTTAACTGTGTGTGTAATGTAATAAATAAATGCAATAAAAAAAACATAGACCTAAATATCTTTTCTGTGTGAAGTAATTATTCTAATTTCTTAATATCTCATTAATAAAATATCTTCAGACTTCATATTTATATTGACAGGAAAAAATTAGAGCAATCTCATTTCGAAGCCATGCTTTCGAGCCGTGATTGTTTTTCCCACTATTCGTACAACGATAGCGAATGAATATCGATGATTCGAGAGTGCGCGACGGCCATGCGTGTGAACAGCTGATCATTAAATGCATCAGCTGAGCTAGACTAAACAAATGAGCACTGTAGACGGCGGGAATGAACGGCACGAGAGATGCGTGATGCGAATGTTTGCCCCAGTGTTTACGAGACGACGGAAACTCGACAAATAAACGAACAAAGAAGAAATGTTAACTGATTTATACCGTAAGGTAGCGATAAGTCTTTTCACAGTGTTGTGCTTAAGATGAAGAAGCAATCGACCCATAAGTTGTGAATTATTCATTAAAATTCTTTTAATCGGTAATTAGTTAATTTTCTGGCCAAAAATATGCGGCCAGCAGTTTTTAGATGACATTTCATTTATTGAGGAAAACATGTAAGCGGCAACGCGTGAGTTCTCTTTGTATCAAAAAAATTAAAATTATCAGGGGCTGATTATTTGCTACAAATGTTATTCTCCGTGCACGAAACGACATAATAACAGCTTGTGAATAATATCTATATTGCTATATTTGGAAAAACAGCTCATACTTGAAAATTTTTATTAATAATAATAGTATCAGCAATCCCGTACGTGTGTGATACGTGAAAAATGAACGACCCAATAATGTCTGACCTACTTGCTTCTCCCTAACGGCAAAAATACTAGGAAAAATATACGTAAAACGTTTTTCTCGCTAATTGTACAATTTAACGTCGTTTTTTCCCGTGAAATAGCTTGATTAAAAAGAATAAAAAGAATTTAATTCGTCGTAGTTGGAAATAAACTTTTACGCTGATTTTACCTATTTTACGATTTAAAACTATTTTAAAAATTATAAACTTCAAATTATTTACCAAATTTGATTCTGAATAAGTCCGAAAGTGACACCAGAACGTAGAACTCCAAGAGGACATTTTCCATATGAGAAATTTTATGTGAGAAGTCGTAGGTTTGGAGCTCAACGGAAATCGAGAACTTCGTACTGTATTTACAGCGAATGAATTTGTATACATATTACCGATTCGCCGTTGACTTCGGCGAGTACTATGGAAAAGAGTCGTGTCATGCGTCATGTTTATATCTCTAATCGCACGACAACCTTTGTCGACTGCGCCGAAATTCGTAAACAGCGGTTCTCAAATTGTACTCGGAACGCAGTGAAAACCGCATAAACAATTATTCGAATTATTATAAATTCGAAATTTGCTTTTGTTTAAAAAGCTGTGACATCCCTCCCACTTGTGTTATAATAATTTAAATTTAAACGTAAAGTTTGTAATAATGTACGTAAAGTTGTAATAAATTGACATGAGTAAGATGTATATTTTTTATCTAAATTATTTTCATTGTTTTGTAATAATGATCCGCATATCATAATCTATTTTCTGACTAATCATTCTCTTACTATTTTGCTTTATTTATGCGATTTCGAAATATTCTATCAGTTTCGTACGTTTATATATCCGTTAATTTTGCGTATACTATTTTCTCGTATTTTTCTCGTGACATCGAGTAATGCATTTGACATTTTGCGAATTAGTGCACATAGCTCGATGCAGTACGATTCGAGTAAACATTCGTGTAGATACACATTTGCGATCACTCTCATCGATTTAACGTATCGTTGATTGAAGAGCAAATACTAATCGAATTATGCAATTTTCTTGGAACTTATCTGCATTCTATTTATGAAATCGATACAACGTGTGGCGTGTGTAGCCGCTTCCACGTGGACAAAGCGCGGGGATAAATACGCAAGCATCAATTTCACTCTTATATCATTAGCTTAATTGAGCCTTTTAAGCGCGTGTTGCCAGACAATGTAATTATTCGTTACCTACACGTGTCATAAACGTTGATTATGTATCGACAATCACGCAGGAGTAAACTCTGTCATTGAATTAATTAATTACGTGAAAGAGATTCCACAATGTTTTATCCTATAATTGATATCATGGCGTTAACGTATTAAAATTTTATCTTTGTAATTCGCCGTTTCTTAAACTTCTCGCATTTGAAACGAAAAGTTAGAAATTATATTATTAGAACTAACAGCAATTGGGCGTTAACTTATGTGAATATAACGTTTAATTAATATTTAGATCGAGAGAAAATCTTGAAAACAAATGCGGATTCTTCATCGATTGTGATTAAAAATATAGTGCAACGTTCCGGATGCTATATGCGTTCGCGATAACGAATAAAGGCGATAAAATATGATCGCGTTATTTTTGCTCTGCGCCTTATCGAGTGAACATGCCAATCAGCTGAGTGATCACAAAGTACTATAATGACTTACCAATTAAATGAAAGAGCGTTCCCTTGGGAAATTCGACGTCGTCATGAATAATAAAACCACTCTGTCGTGCACCTGAAAGATTAAAAATGAAATATGAATCACTGCTCTAAAATCTATAACCTCCTACGCCCCGCAAACAATTTACAATATAAAATTGATATTAAGATTCGTGTAATTTAGAGGTTTCACGATATATTCACGTACAGATTGCTCCGAATCTTTCTCATTATTAAAAGATTTGAACAGATTTTAACGCTAAACCCGATAAAATAATGAGCGATATTGCTTAATCCTTTCCCGCTGAATAAATTATATATTTCAAGAGAATTACATATTAATGATTTCTCATACATTGTGTTGTGTCCTACTTGTGGTCTGTAGTTTATGTGACGAAATTCAATGCATAATGCATTCGATTTATATGAATACAAATCAAATTATATCAATTATTAAAATTATTGCAGCCTTAGCAGGAAACAAAATCGACGCGAAAGGATTAAATCCGATCTATCAAACTTCTTAAATAAACTTCGCGATTTCTAGTAGTATTTCGATCTTGCACAATTATCCCTCCATCGAAAATGACATGTCACCGAGGTGTCTGACACATTTTCTGTCATTATACTGTCAAACTATCTATAATCCATTCTTAATCTGCATATTGTACAAAGCATCACTAAGACAAAGGCGATCACACATTTGGAAACGTACGTACGCACGCTTGAATCATCACGATTGCCGTCACAAAGGGATACAGTCGCAGAATGGAGATCCCTAACCCTAACCTAACCTCACCTGGAAGGATTTCGCTTGTCCTCGAGATCCTACGCTCTTTTCGACGATAACACCAAATCACGCGCGTTACACAAGCACCTTTAGTCTCGCTCGCGATCACATTTTACTAATGTCGCAAGACTGCGGCGAACGAAAAAACGTGTACGATAAAAAAAAAAGAATTCACACAGAGCGCGAAGATCCCCCGCCTCGTTCGCTTCTTTCTCTGCGTTAATAACATCGTCATCCGCTAGACAGCGTGCACCGCGCTTCGATCAGCTGATCGCTCGCGCACGTGTGTTATGTGTCAGTCGCACTTTCTTGCACTTTTATATACATGAATAATTGTACAATTGTGGAAAACGAATACATAAATGCATATATTCTAACTTTAGCTATCAAGAGATTGCAGGAAATTGTAGGAAAAAAATTAATTTATAATTTTTTTACGTGACGCTTTCTGCAAATTTTTATGTCATTCACTCTTTCTGTGTGAAGTACCGGAGAGTGTAAGAATCTGTACTTTTTAAGAGAAATTGTTTTACATTTTTCTTTCTTTTCTTTTTTTTACACTATTAATTTAGATTTAATTTTATGTGCAGAATGTGTAAAAAAATATAAGTGCGAGATATATAAAAAACACGTGTTTTGCGTACGCTGATGTACATAGTCTCTTAAAGTACATGTGTTGCATTTTGATATGCTGCATCAGCGATAGAAGAATTAAAGGCGTTCTTATTACGCTTAAATTTTAGTTCTCATTGCCAATTAATTTAGAATTATCGGAATCATGTCGACAACGCTGGCATTACCGCAAAAGAAATATTATAGACAGCGTGCACACTCAAATCCGATAGCTGATCATTGCATCGAATAGTGAGTAGAGTTTTGTTAATTTGCCTATTAATTTTTAATTTCGTAGAAATTATTATATTATATTATCTACTATTTATAGCCCCACAAAACCAGAGTTGATGGATTGGAGCACCTTGTACCCGCAATATTTTTCCAATAATGAGCAAACACAGAAATGCGTGGAGTTTGCAGATGTTGGTTGTGGTTACGGAGGCCTACTAGGTAATTTACCTTTTGTTCTTTAATATTACTATAAAATCAAACTAAGTAACAAATTAATTTGTAGTTACTTTATCACTGATGTTTCCTGACAATCTGATACTCGGTATGGAAATCAGAGTAAAGGTATCAGACTACGTTATGGATCGCATTGCTGCCTTACGCTCACAAAATCCTGGTCAATATCAAAATATTGCTTGCCTAAGAACTAATGCTATGAAATATCTACCAAATTACTTTTACAAAGGACAGGTATGGAGAAAGTCTTGCTTGCTTAATATATATAAAAGTATATATTAACTTGCATTGATCTCTGATTTTTGGTTTGTACAGTTAAAGAAGATGTTTTTCCTGTATCCGGATCCACACTTTAAAAAGTCAAAACATAAATGGAGGATAATAAACAAGTCTCTCTTAGCAGAATATGCTTATGTGTTAGCGGAAGGAGTAAGTCTCACTTAACTTGCTTTATGGAAATTAATTCTTATCTTAATCTTATATGGACTAATTCTTATCGTTATGTAGGCTATTGTATATACTGTAACTGATGTGGAAGATCTGCATAAGTGGATAGTTCAGCACTTTGAAGAACATCCATTGTTTGAAGAAGTCGTCAAGCAAGACTTGGTAAGTATCACTGTTTATTTTATATATTTAGGGATATCAGCTAATTTTGTTATTAATACAGGTAGCAGACCCAGTAGTGGAAAAATTATACGAAAGCACTGAAGAAGGTCAGAAAGTAACCAGGAATAAAGGAGATAAATTCCTAGCTGTGTTCAGAAGGATCGCTGATCCTTACATTGCAACGAGTAGCTAACAGTGGATATTGTGTATGTAATTGTATATACACATCAACATCTGATTGCAATTAAATGGCAAAAGATATTCTCGATAATTTTGATACCGTACGGGAATATTCCTCGTCTTGATATACTGACCGTGTCTCTAAAGCAGATTGCAAAAAAAACTATTAATTGTGTTTTAAAAATAAAATAGGATACTTTACAATACCTTGCTTAGAAGTTTTACTCCTCTTCACGCTGGATGCCGTGTTCAAATAGTCCTTGTGTCTGATGTCTACACGCTGGATTAAGTGTGTGGTCTTCAAAGCGAACTCTTCATGCATTATGACGAATAACATCTGAAAAATAAAATCGATTGACGTTAACTATTTCTTTGACAAATATTGAACTGCAAAAAGATCCTACCTTTTCCAATATTTGACTGATTAACGCTCGTGGTGGTGAAATGTACGATCTTTGTATCAATCTTTTTCTTTCGTATAAATTCATTGTGAATTGTGAATAAAATAAATTCAATTCGTCACGCAAAATATCTTGCATTTGGTTCTTAAATAGTTTGCTATTGATTATTTCCCTGAATATATATAATAAAACATATTAGATAATTAAAGTAGCTATAAAGAAATTTTAAAAAATTAAGAATTTTACCATAGTAGACCTTCTATAATAAATGAAGATCGTTTGATGTCTTCTTTGTTGAATGTCATCTGTATTTCATCTTCCTCAATGCGTATTTCTTTTCGTGGTGCGCTTATTAATTCTTCCATTAGATTAACTTTTAGAAATTTATCTTCTACACTATGTATTGAGCATCGGATCGTTATAGTTTTATAAAAAGGTTGAAATTTCTCCAAAACTTTTATCGATGGTTTCTAGAGACAAAAAAGAAATGTTTAAACAAGTTCCTTATTTTTAATTAAAGAGTAAGTGTCTCGCCGACTCATCAGAGTTAAATTATTTTTAAATGTTTAAGATCTTATGGAATTTCTTTGTGTTCTACTTACT